GGTTTGAAGGAATTACTTCAAGGAGGGATGTAGTTGAATGACAACACAAAATAGCCTCTGTTAATGCTGTTACCATGTGTACAAGCTCTGTAATGCTACTTTTTTTTCCTCGTAAATGTATTTTCTTCCCGGTTTTGAGTTTCCCTGATTGGCTGGGTCTGTTCCACTCAGGATAAAAGAGAAGAAGATGCAGTGTGTGATAGATTTAACAGCCTGTGGGATGCAGGGGTGAGATCCCTTCTCCAAGCCAGGCAGACAGGACATTATTGTCTTTTCTGTGTTTTGTTTTCCTTTCTTTTTGTTTCAAGTGAATACATCTGGAGGATGAAGGATGGGTCACTTCCCTGACTTGCTTCTCTGCCTAAGTCAGGAAGAGAATTCTTTGGAATTAGGGAAAATTCAGAGAGCCATGGACAGAAAATCCCCTGGTCAGGATGGCCTCTTCCCAGGATTTCAGTCCTCCTCTTCCTCCAAGTCTCTTCCTTTAATAGGAACATAAAAGGAGGGTTTTGAATGATCCAAGGGTGTGACTTTTATTTTTGCTTGGTCAATGTATTGGAAATACTCAAGGCCAGGTTGGATGGGGCTTAGAGCAGCCTGGGAGGTGGCAGGGGGCTGGAATGACATGACCTTTAAGGACCCTTCCAGCCCAATTCCATGATGCCATGGCTGTGTTAGGAGCTGAGAGCTGGAAATCAGCAGGAATTTGCTGCTGGCACTGGAGCGGGAGGGAAGCAGCCAGATACCCCTGACATGAAGGACATCAGCACCCCGAAGCCAGCTGGGACGTGAGGGCTCAGCTGGAAAAGCTCCACCAGTATCACAAAGCTTTAAAATCCATTTAGTGGCGACTGCAAAATGTTTTGCATAAACTCCTTTTCTTCCTGCCTAAATGTGAACACATCCAGATCAATCACGGAGCTCAAAAATCTTCCTGGTTCTTTTGTGAACATCCTGCTTTGTTATTCCTTTCATTTGTCTTGCACAGAACAAGCCAGCACCGAGAAAATAACTTATTGTGGATGATCAGAAAGACCTTTTCTCCCTTGCTTTTCAAACAGCAGTACACAGAAATTGGATGTTGTCTGTACACAGAGTTGCTGTTTTCCATATATAACCAAGGTGTCACGCAGCTCATTATTTCAGGGGAAAAAATCAGTGTCAACAACCAAGGCTTGTGGCTGTCGTTTGGTTTATTAAAAACAAAAACGTTTGATCTCTTGAAGAAAGAAAAGAAATCAGCTCCTGGATTTTAGATTTTCTTTTCTGCACTTGGTCTTCTTGAAAAGTATCAAAAAATGAAAAATCTAAGGTGACATCCTCCGTTCTCATGACCCCTAATAGCCAGTCACTCCACCAATTTTTCTAACTTTATCTTTAATCTACTATTCCCAAACTAATTAGGGACTGAAGGTCTTTGGACTGATTTTCATTTTGTCTTGAGTTATTGTGACATCTTTACTACAAATTCTTTCTCAGTCTAATTAAATTCCTGCAGCATAAATGTCATTTTTCATATCATCACCTGTGGTAGCCTGACTTTGCCTCAGTCTCCTGACGAGGGACGGACTCCCTTCCTTCCTGCTTCATATTTGAAAAGTTTGGCTTGAAGTAAGAACATCTCCAGGCTTAGCACAGACAGGGAATCCATTAATATCTAGGAATTCAGATTGATGGGGTTTTATTAGAAAAATCCAGCAGTTGTGCTCTTATATTAGTTTTCAGAAGAATATCTCAATTTGTGCCTTCCCCGAGGCCCAGAGGCAAAGGGCTGAGTTGTGCTCTGAGCCTGGCCCTGAGCTGCCAGGGCCCAGCACAGCCCAGAAATCCTCTGCTCTGCTTGGAAACATGGTGCAGGGGCTTATCTGCTAAACAAAATCCAAATGAGAAATGTTGATACTTAATGAAATATAAGTTTGAGGATTTCACAAAAGAAATCTGCTGTCTCTGCTTTAATTTATTAGGGAGAGTTATGTGCAGATGGTATATACAGAGCTATTTCCTGACTGTACTCCAGAGTAAGTTGATTTGTGGTTTAATGACTTTTATCAAAATGAAATAAGCGTTTGATCTTTGGATTTGATCTGGCTATATCTGCAGCTGCTACACCACTACAGCAATTACTTCCAAACTGGGCTTTTTGCCCAGGCAAATGGAGTTCGTCCTTGTTTCATGTCTCATTGACTGTCCTGATAATACACACAGAGTTACTGTAGGTTTTTTCTTCCTCTAAATTTGATAGGTGTGAAAGTAAGAGAGTAATTCCCTTTTTATTTTAGTATCAGTGTTGTTTTATTATAATCCATTCACTACTCTGGTTAATTTTATCTCGAAGCTGCTCCTAACTAAAATTCAATACAAGAACGTGTAATTTTCTCCACATAATCCTGCTATGCCCCTCTATAAAGAAACAAGAAATTCATTTATGAATTCTAAATCTCAGACCCCTCATGGTAATCTTCACATCTGTCCAGTGGTTTAGGGATGAGTTTGTTGTGATCTGTTGTGCACCCACGCTGGGCTAAATCCACTCCTAATGGATTTCAGTGGAAGGCAATGGAGTTATACTTGGAATCAATTTATCCCCATGTATCCATCTCTGAAATAGTGGTAGTTTTATTTTGTTGTTGGCTAATTAATTCCTGTCAGATTGAAGCTGTTAAAGTTAGCAATTCTTTTTCCAGGACCGTACTTCATTCTTTAGTTACTGCTCAGGACAAAATTTGTCCAAGTTCAGCCTCAAAAACTCCTGGTGGGAGACGGTTGTCGTGATTAAGGGCTCTTAGGGCTTTGTGCTGCCAGCTGTGCCTTCCTGAGGAGCTGCAGCTGCATTTGTGAGCAGGCTGTGGGAGGCAGGAGCTGTTCAGGGGCTGGCAGCCAGCTCACCTGGGCCAGAGCAGCAGCAGGGAGCCGCAGGTTTGCAGCGCAGCCCCTGCACCAGGCCACGCTGGATGAAGATGTTCTGGAAGCAGCTTTGGTTTGGAGCCAGCAGGTCTGAAATCTGCTGATTCACAGTGGCCAGGAGAAGCAGTCAGAAGGAATTATAAAACAAGGGGAAGATCTTTGTTCTCCCCCTTTTTTACAGTCACTTCGGGACAAGGCGCTTCACGCTTTGCGTGGCTGGAAGGTAGATTTTAAACTGTCTCTTTTTTGGCTGGATATTTCTTAGAGATAAGCAATAAAAATGGCAATAACTGGGAAGTGACTGGTGGATGAGTTGCCTGGAGATTTGCAGTGCTACCAGGAACTCTGTGAGAAGGCAGCTCAGCCTCGGAGCTGGGGAGGTTTTTCCTGTGCCAGGGTTGCTGCTGCATCTTTAGCAAATCAAACTCCTTGCACAGTACTTGCTCCTTAATCCAGGAAAATTAAACCACCAGCCACAGCTACACTGTCCAGCCATCTGCTCTCCCAGGTGCTCCCACGCCTGAGCAGAGATGGAGGGATGTGACCTAGAATCCCACTGCAGGGCTGGGATCATTCCCAGCACAGTCCCAGCCTTCAGTCTTCTGCATGGCATCAGATAAAGTAAACATCAAGATTTGATGTGAGAGCATATGTCCATTGCATAATTCATTAGAGTTCTTCTCCACAACTATTTTTAGGTATTTTTCAATCAGAAGTAGAGGGTGAGGATTACTCAGGAAAAGGAAAGGATAAGAAAATAATGCGGGAGCTTAGAAAGATGTCTAGGTGCTTTTGGGACTGAGATCTGGCCATTTAGCTGCGTGTGTTTGGTTTTTAATTAATTGTTTCTGTCCTGGACAATTCCACATGACAGCTTGGTGGTGGGATGGTGCAAATCCAACAGCAGAACAGGAAACCTGCTCCTTTTTTACTCAGCACTGCTGCTAAAACCCCTGTCAGGCCAGACACCAGCTCTCATCATTTCAGACTGTATCACTCCACCACCCTGAACGTGCTTATTCACAATTTCCAAACACTAAACACATCCAAAACCATTTCCCCTCTGTTTTGCAAAGCATCCACTGGGTGTTGGTGGGACACAGCGAGCAGAGTTGGTGGTTTCCCTGCTCAGGTTGTGCAAAATACCTCGTAACTGCAAATCATCACAGCTGCCACAGCTTCTTGTCATGTGTCAGCAGGCTGTGTGAACACCTGGGATGTTCCTGAGCTCTCAGATTTCCCGAGCCTCATTTCACCCCACACGTGAAGGGTTTGCTGTGAGAAAGCGAGGACAAAAATCCTAACCAAACCCCAAACCTCCCGTTGTACAGCGTGAGTCACTGACAAGAAATGGAAGGAGGAGTTATTTTGAGGCTTTTACATCTTCCCTATTGCTAGGAGACAGTTCCTGGGCAGGCAGAGCTCGCCGGGCCCGCGCAGCGGCCTGCTCGGTGCCGCGGCGTCCGGGGCCATGCACGGGCAGCTCTGAGGGAGACCAGGGAAGGAAATCGGGATGGGAGCCGCTTTTCAGCTGCTTTTTCATTCTTCAGTCTTTCTGAGACAGACACAGTGTACTGGAGGCAGCTGCAGGTGCCAAGGAGAGCATGGTGTGTGGAATGTCACCTCAGGCTGGCCTCGGTCTCTCGGCTTTCACGGCCTGCTCTCTGCAGAGCGGGGTCACGATGGTGACCCACAATGGTTACACCACATTTGGGCCAAGTTTGGGCTGCTCGAGAAGGGACAAAACCACAGCACTGCCAGCCAGGTCTGGGCTTGTCCCTGATCATCAGTCCATGCACAGCATCAACCACCAGCACGTGAGTCCCACAAGGGCAGCACCAGCCTCACCACCTGTGACCCCAGGGTTTAGAATTCTCAGTTCTGACCAAAAATTATTCTGTTTTCCTAAGGCAACTCGGTATGGGCTGATTGAGGCTGGGGTTGTAAATGGACAGATCTCCTGGGGTTTTGTCACGTGTGGGCAGAGCCTGGAAAAAAACAAAGCTGTCATGAGAACATGGGAATTTGTCATCCAGAAGGGAGATGCTGAGACAACTGTGGAGTATCTCACACTGTATTTTTCACACTAATGCCAGATGGCCAGGAATGGGATCCCCCACGCTCTCCTCCCAGTCTGAGAAGACAAGAAAATAAACAAGGAAAATGTCTGTGCTGATGGCATCTGTTGGCTCCCTCATAAGGTGAGTCACTGCTTTTGATTGCTGAAATAATTAGGATTTCTTTCTAATTGGATTCTCATGTTAACCCTTCCTGCGCCACGGACCCTAATCATCCTTTTAGCTCCTGGCACGAGGTTGGAACTGGATGAGCTTTATGGTCCCTCTCAACCCAAACCATTCTGGGATTTTGTGGCAAATGAGACTTGGCAGCAATTCCAGGTGAGGATATTCTACACCAGCTGGGCTGCAGGTGTGGAACCCATTCCTCTGCTGCTCCCATCACCTACAGGACCATCCTGGGGGTGATCAAGACTCAGTTTCCTTCCAGCTACAGGACAAAAGTGCAAGGAATTACAGGAGAGGAAATACAGGGCAGAAATCTGTGGAAATATTTGAGTGTGGGGTGCTCTGCAGCAGGTTTTATTTAGGAGGTGCTTGACACATCCAATCCATGCTCCCTGAGATCCCTGCACTCCTGCCAGGCATATGTGCACATACATTTATTTTTAAACTCTTACATGCAGCATTTCCTACCTGCCTGGTGCACCAAAGCAGTTTTTTTCCTTGGCAAATAAGGGAAAGAGCTGGGTGAGTATAAACGTGTTTCTTAACAGCCTTGTTTGTGACAAAATTGCCAAGTAAATCTTCACACGACATCGGGCTGCGAGTATTGGAGTCACATTTGGACAGCAAAGCCCACTGCACACAGCTTTCATTGCAATATTTCTCTCAAGCACAGCCTGTCTCTCATGTTTTTCTGAACATTGTTTAAAGAACTGATGAAAGGGCTGAAAACTTTTCAAACTTTCCTTTTCTTGGGTCTTTTCAGCTCAGTCTTTCATCACTCAGTCAATAAACAGTGGAGGACTCTTCTGAACTGAAGTAGGAGCGAGGAGGAGAAGGGGAAATTAATGATATCACCAAATTGAAACTCTTTCAAGTTCCCTTTAATTGCAGAGGGCACAGGGAGCTCATTCAGTTTTAATTCTCTGATCTCTTGCTGTCCCCAGGGGACCAATCTGCCTCTCCTCCCACGCCGCACGCGATTTTCCTGGAGCGGGTTCCTGGCTCCCAGCTCAGGGCTCCTGAGCTGTGCAGAGCCCTTCCCACTGGGATTTTGGCAGTGGAACAGCAGCCTCAGCTGCCCACTGAGGTGGTCACGCTGCCCTTGGGCACCACACAGGGCTGAGCCTGCTCCATCAAGCCCCTGGTGCCCGTTTGGTGCCTCAGCTGCTCATCTGTGGACTGGGGATCACAGGATCCCACAAGGATTTTAGCTGGAAGGACCTTAAACCTCATCCAGTTCCACTCTGGCCATGGGCAGGGACACCTTCCACTGTCCCAGGGTGCTCCAATCCCTGTCCAACCTCACCTTGGACACTGCCAGGGATGGGGCAGCCACAGCTGCTCTGCACAGGTGAGTGCCACATATCTAAGCTGTCCAAAGTTAAAAGAAAAAACAATAAAACCCCCAAGAATGTCCAAAAATTGCTGCTCTCCACTGAGGAGCTTCAGCTGAAGGCACCAAGCATTCCCTGGCTGTCTTTGTCTCATGGGAAATATCAGTGCAAGGGGCTGAAAACTGCTCAAAGAGCCATTCCCACCGTGGAAAAGCCTGAGGATTATCATCACAACAGGTCCCTGGGCAGAAACATGAAGCATAAAGCTTTAAATTCAAGTCACACTGATAAGAATAACAAATAAAGAGACCAAATTCCCTTAAAAAATGGGATTACCGAGGCCGTGGGGAAGAAATATTTTAAAGGAAGTTAAAGAGAAGTTAATCTGCTTTTATGTAATTTGTTTTCCTATTCTTCCCGCACTGGCTTGCTTTGGAGACAGCTGCTTTCAAGGTTTACAGCCGTGCATATGGTTGGGAGGGCTGGAATTGGCAGCCCTTGGCATGACAGAATAATGGCTAACTGGAAAAATGGCTGGGTAGATAATTTACAGATGATACGACCACATCAAACCCAGTGAAACACAACCCATTCATTTTTACAGCCTCCAGATTGCTGCCTGTTGTGATGTGTCCCTCCTGATGGCTCTGCTGTCACACAGCCCTTCCCCTCCCCTCCCACGGGCAGGATCCCGTGGAAATCCTCATTCCTGGAGGGCTGGACATGAACAAGGCAGGATCCCATGGAAATCCTCATTCCTGGAGGGCTGGACAGGGATGGGGCAGGATCCCATGGAAATCCTCATTTCTGGAGGGTTGGACACAAACAGGGCAGGATCCCATGGAGATCCTCATTGCTGGAGTGTTGGACACAAACAGGGCAGGATCCCATGGAAATCCTCATTCCTGGAGGGTTGGACACAAACAGGGCAGGATCCCATGGAAATTCTCATTCCTGGAGGGTTGGACATGGATGGTTTTAAGTTCCACTTCCTTCCTGTTTTCTGTTTAAACTGAGAACAAGGATTAGTGTTTGGTTTGAGATTTTAATATTCAAGGATAGATTAAGACAGCAGCAGCCTGATGTTAGATGACCATTAAATACCAAATGCTATCAAAATCTCCAGCAGCATCAAATCAAGCCCTAAATCCTAAAAGCTTATAATTTTCCCCCAAAAATTACACCAGAGCGTCACCTTTGGAGCCGTGTTGTTCTTTGTTCAGCAATAAATGAGGAATTGCTGGAGAAATCCCAGTTGGGGTAGTCCTGGCCCTCCCTCAGCCAAGCCCTGAGTGAAAGGCAGATTCTCATGGCTCAATTACAGAGCCACTAAACAAAATGGAAATGTTGATGTTCATTATTGATTTTATCCTTTGCTGCTCTGGAATGGTGCTAGTGGGAGCTGTTGTAATCAGATTACCTTAAAACTTACTTACAGAATGAAGTGCTTAATTTATCCCCCCTTTTTTCCTTTCCCAAAGCAATAAAACAGGAAGGGATCAGCTGTGCTTCCTGTAGAGCAGCTCTTCTCTTTTTGGTTTTCTCACTGTGTTTGTGTAATTCATCGTTTATCACTCTCAAAATCTTTTTTTAAAGCATTTTGCATTTGTTATATCTCCTCAAGTAATCGCTCATATTGGTTATGGAATAGAATAGACTGTGATTGTTAGAGATATAACTGCAAAATGTTTCCAATTTCTGGGAATATCTATTGAAAACTCCATTTACTGAACATCCATCTCCAGCTCCCAGGGCTGTCAGGTCACAGCTCCGTGTCCCTACAGCCTGGATGTCTTTGGGATTCAAGTCAGCCAGGCTGATTGTGGTTTAACTGAGGATCTGGGAAGTGCTGCATTTTGAGTGATATATCCTCTCATAATCTGGGAGGTTAAATGGTTTTTCTGATTTGATTCTTTACTGCCTTCCCCATTTCACATCAGATGAAACCGGCTGTGAAACGGCAGCAAATGCAAGTGGCACATTTGTGTGCTGAGTGCCTACAGCGAGCTCGGGGAAGAGAAATTGGCATTTAATTGCCCCTCATTAGTCATATGCTGTGTACAATACGAGTGGCATTGCAGTGGGCAAGGTGGCTGAGAAATCCAGCCCTGTGCTTATCCCAGGCTGGCTGTGGGGCTGGAAGTGGCTCTGACTGAGGCACCAAAGGACCCAGTTCCTGCCAGCTCTGTGGCCCTGCCAGCTCTGCCCCTTGGCTGGGCTCAGGGAGGGTGGGTGAGCATGATCAGAGAATCCCAGAATTGTTTGGAATTGGAGGGACCTCAAAGCCCACTCAGTGCCACCCCTGCCATGGCAGGGACACCTCCCACTGTCCCAGGCTGCTCCCAGCCCTGTCCAGCCTGGCCTTGGGCACTGCCAGGGATCCAGGGGCAGCCACAGCTGCTCTGTGCCAGGGCTGCCCACCCTGACAGGGAACAATTCCAATTCCCAATATCCCATCCAGCCCTGCCCTCTGGCACTGGGAGCCGTTCCCTGCGTCCTGTCCCTCCATCCCTTGTCCCCAGCCCCTCTCCAGCTCTCCTGGAGCCCCTTCAGGCCCTGGAAGCAGCTCTAAGGTCTCTCTGGATCCTTTTCTTCTCCAAGCTGAGCCACCTTGTTCTTGTTGTGTTCTGTGTGCACATTCATGTCCTCTCAAGCCCCTGCTGGGCACCTGATCCTGAGCAAAGCACAGCCCAGACCATCTCCTTGCAAACCCATGGACTCAGGGAATGCTTCAGGCTGGAAAGATCTTTAAAATCATCGAGTCCCACCACAAAGCAGCACTGTTCCCACTGTGCTGCTACCCAGGGATGATCAGACTGTGACCCTGCCACATTCCTCTCCAAGTGCCACTCAACAGGGGAACCTGCCTTTCAAAGGAACAAGACTTTTAATCTGTGGATTTATCAAATTTAACCTTTTTCTTGCTGTATCCTGCCTGCATTCCCTGCCATTCCTTGGCAGCGAGCAGCTCTGATCCCAGCTCTTCCCATCATTCCTCTCCCTGACCAGCCCTTTGGAAGGAGGGTGGAGATTTCTGTGCCTTAGCAGATGGCAGCAAATCTTGATACCTGCATTTCATAGCCTGGCCCGTGGGGTTGCAGTGATGTATTTACTCCAGCACCTAATGTCAATGAATTACATCCAACCCCGCAAATGGTCATAAATATGATAGTCTGTGTGAGCTGAGGTAATTGCCTGCTTTATATATGTGTTTATCTTCCCTGCATTGCATACACAATGTGCATTATGTCAGGGAGATGACAAAGAGCAGCCATAATGCTCCTCAACTGCATATTTCTTCTTAGTTTATGGCTGAGGCTCACAGTTATCTTATGCAGAGCTGGCTGCAGTGCTTTAATATAAATTAACATACTTAGAAAATGTCAAGGAGCATTAATTGACAATTTCAGAGGCCTACCTTGCTAAATACCAGTTCAGTTCTGAAGCCTGTCTCTGCAAGCTTAATATATGGAAAATAATGCTTATTCATGAATGGCTTATGTAACTTGGCATTAATTACATGGCAGCGAGTGCTGGCTGTCACAGATGGTCTCTACAAAACCAGGTGCCAAAAATAAAGTTTCAAGCCCCACGAGGGAACTTCTGGGCTGGATACTCAGC